TCATCGTAATATGAGACTGAAAATTTTGGTCTACGCAATAGGACTAAACGCAAGTCGTCCTGACAAAAAGTCAAGGCACAAAAAAATCTCAACTGAAATGAGGGTTAAAAAAAATTTACGGTTTCGAAAGGACGGAATAGAATTCACATTTCATGTCGATTATTCCTTCGGTATCAAGGAAAATGAAAAAAATCAATTTTTTTTCCTGCCTCGTCACGATATACCCGTCTAGGAAAACTCAAATTATTTGTTAAGGAGCACAGAATTCAATGCGTACTTAATCTGTTAAAATCGTACGTCTGGCCTCAATTTCTGCATTTCGAGAGAGGTGTCGTCTGATTCTCGAAATTGGCAAAAACGAAGCAAATCAAACCTGAATAATTAAAACTCACTTTTCGATAAGCTTCAGGAGATTCGAATAATGAATTCAGGTCACATGATTCGAATTAAAAACTTTAAAAAATACGAATTAACCACATTCGCATCTCAGAATACTTCTGACGATTCAACGACATCTATGCATTAGCAAAGAAAATCAGGGCCGTCGGGAATGGAAGTTAAATGTTTTGAACAAACATTTCTTGTTCGAAATTTGAAAGCTCAACTATCTGATCTACGTTCCAGAAGATTAAAATGTTAATGAAGTAAACTTCAAAGGCATTTTCAGCAACAACAAAAAAGGTATATCCTTTCCTCATCCTATTTTTGCTGTGCTGGATTGGAATGCAAGATTTCGTCGATTACCTCCATTTGATCAGATTATAATCTGTTTGTTTGGTTAATTTCAATGCTGAATTGGATTCGCGTGAAAAACAACGGAATGCAAAATTTCATCGAATTCCTCCATTTGATTAGATTATAATCTGTTCGGTTAATTTCAGTGCACATGAACAGCTGAAAGCACGACTCGTCCATGAAAAAGTCTTCTTTTAAACCGGAAAATAAAATCACAGGGAAGACTCTCCCAAACCAGAGCCTTTGAAGACGGCAGTCTTCAATATTTGCAAACTGCCTTCGGCTTTGTCAACCAAACGGGCAACTTTCCGATGCCTTGGACGCAAGAATTCCGACATAAAAGACGGGGAAAATGATGCACTGGAACCGGACGCGGCAATAACTAATCTGGAAAGGTGTCTGGCTGCCATAACGAGCTCAGTTGACCGGACATCGAGAACTCTCGGCTCCAATGGCGGGTACATAGCTTGCACAACGGAATCCGCCAGCACATTGATGTCATCTGCCGTCTACACGACAAAGCATCAAATCATTTCATCGCACACAAGGGATTAAATAAAACATGTTCAGAAGAAACCAACCTCGACGACCAGTTTCCAGTTTTTTCCAGGAACTCGTTCGCGCGCCAGCTCCATCAGAAACTGCAGCAACGCTTGAATGCTCCTTGAAAAAAAAATAAAAATAAATCTTACTTTATCTCTCCGCATCGTTCAGAAGGTCTCTAGAGATTATCTTAGGTTATTTTTCTGTATCAATAGTTACAATACAGTACTTCAAGTACTAAACAGGACTGTGTACGAAGATGAACAAGTTTGGAAGCATGAAATAAAATAAACAAAAGCAGAAAATAACTCGAAATTTCAAAATATGTCTACAGTACAAAGTTTGGATTTTCATCCAAGCACCATAACTTCGGAGCTTTTCCAGAAGTATGCGAGTGAGTTGAGCCCTTGAATTCGAATGGATCTGACCGATTTCAAGTGGGGGCAGACTCGTATGATTTCTTGAAATACAAATTTTTGTCAAGCCCCACTTGAATTTACATTGAAATACCATTCGTCAATTGTCGCGAATGATGGACGTGAATACCAAATATTTATTCAAAAAGTCGAATTGAAGTACAGTACAGTACTGTACTGTACACGAAAATTCAGCGACATGATTCCTTCCACACGTACAGCAGTCGAAAAGAAAAAGGGACTACGAAGAACAGTACCGTATACAGGTGGTCTCTCTAAAACAAAATTCAAGCGACCAGAA